GTCCTGAGCATCCTTTTCTATCTGTTTCCATGATGTCCCCGTTTTTTCTTCTGGTCGACAGGAGGTTTCTCGGCTTGGTGGCTTCCTTTCGGCTTTCACCACCCTGCGTCATTCTACACTCCATATTCTCTCCTCTCTTCGGTGATGAAGGTCCTCCATCTTCCAGAACTGGCCGTCGTCTTCTTTTTGCTGTTGATGTTTTCGTAGCTGCTTTTTGTTTTACGAGAAAGGGCTGCTAACCCTTTGCCCAACCGACCTTAGTCGCCTTCTACGACATGCGCGGTACGGATACAGTGGTCCTATTCTTTGCTCCCCTGTCTCTTGGACAGGGCCCCGAGAACCACACGGGTGAGCTGACTGCTACAACACTGCTATTGCATTGGCTCTCCCTCCAATAATCAAGGAATTCAAACAACTCCGGAAAAAACGGGGGGTTTTTTTCCTTCTTTTTTTTCATTTGTCCTTTATCAAACTACGTCAATGGACCGGTGAACGTGGTGAAACTGTAAGTTCTTTGTCTTTGAAGCAAGACACGTGTGGTCTGTTCGTTTATGGGTGAAGTATATTTTATCTAGCATTACCTACCCTCGGTATATATAGGAACGTTGTATCCCACTCAGCCCAGATTAGCTCTGACAGGACCAAGTGTCGTCCAAACAACTAGTCCTGGATTGTCAAAAATGTGTCGATATCAATCATTTTTCATTAACTTTAACGAGAATTTGTTTCACCCTCCTCTCTCTTTTGTTCTCTCTCTCTCTCTCTCTCTCTCTCTCTCTCTCTCTCTCTCTCTCTCTCTCTCTCTCTCTCTCTCTCACTCTCTTCCTTCTCTCTCTCATTTCTCTCTAGCTTTCCCACCTCTCTCTCTCTCTCTCTCTCTCTCTCTCTCTCTCTCTCTCTCTCTCTCTCTCTCTCTCCCACCTCTCTCTCTCTCTCTCGCTCGCACACACACACACACACACACACACACACACACTCACACAGACACGCGCGCACGGGAGCACCGTCGTGATGCCGCTCTCAGTCTCTCGCCACAATGTGTCTCTATATCTTAATCGTGTACGGACTCGTTGGTGGGAGAGAAAAAGCTAAATTGAGCGCAGCTCGCGGCCCCGCTCCCGGGAGGTGAGGAGAGTGGATGCGAGTGACCACTGGGCAGCAACTTATATTTTATTTAAAACGTTTTATGTTTTGGGTTTGGTGGACGCGCGCTACAGAAGATGAGCCACACGCACCGCTCGTGCTATAATAAGAGACAGCCACATCAAGGAAGTGGCGGCCACGAGTGAGACAGGGAAGGCGGGCTGTTAGACGCCAGAGAGAAGTAAGAACACAAGAGAGATGGATGATGATGAAGATAACGAAGCTTTGAAAAGAGAGACAAAGCACAAAGAAAGCAGACAGCTCTACATGCGAGTGAGGAGCGGACAGTAGATGATACATC